AAAAAAAAAAAAAAAAAAAAAAAAAAAAAAAAAAAAAAAAAAAAAAAAAAAAAAAAAGAGAGAGAGAGAGAGAGACAGAGAGAGATTCTATTTTGTTTTCGCTAGCATAAGAAAGAATATAAAAAAAAATTTCTTTTTTAAATTTAATAAGCCACAATAAAGTTGGAACGTTACCGTGCTACACTGAAAAAATCTCCAGTGTAACTGATGATCGTGTTGATCTGCTAGCAGTCATTCTTCTCAAATAACAATGCCCCCCTATCAGTCTTTGCGTTCTCGAATAATCAGTGCAAAAATTCTGTTTCAATAGGGACTTCTTTTTTCCGGAAAATATTATTTTTAGCTTTAAAGTTTTGTTTTATGACAATTTTTTTCCTATTTCTCTTTTCATTTCTCTTTTCTTTTTTTTTCTTTTCAACTTTAGCTTTTTTCATTACTGTTAGTCAAATTTTTATATTTCTAATAAAATTTCTTAAATATTTCTAATTATCTTTATTATCTTAAACATTTCAATTGAAATTTTTTTTCCTTTTACTCCAAACCAATAATACAGCTAAGTTAGGATTATTTTTCAATAACTATTAAATTTATTTATATATAAAATATTTATATTTGATTTTTTTTTTAAATTTTGCTATTTGGCTAAATAATCACTACCCGTTAAATCCCTAGTAAGATAATGCAAATATAATACCTTTTTCACTGATTAATTGGGTAACAACAATGAATTTTGCAAATCAGACAGACTGTATATTTATGATCAGTGACCAGCTTAAACACTTTAGAACTACTTAACATAATATATTACTTTGCTCAGACATTTTAGCGAGCTTTTTCTTTTTTAGAAATTCAGACTACTGCGCGTCGGCAGAAATGCGGTCAAAACACTGTTTGCTAAATCCCTATGTCCTGTAATAATCAAATATTAACCAGTGTCTCATTCATCCAACTATGAAAATAATATTCTTCAGCAGTGATAATTTGCAAATTTGTCTTTGCAAAGTTAAATTACATTTTTCAACAACAAAAATTGTTTTACATAAACTACAAGAATAAGATTTCTAAGCAAAAGGAAAATATCTGTGGACAGCTAAACCACTAAAACTTTTATTACACTCATTACAAGAATAAAGATGTGGGTAGTAATAGTAAAAATATTTTATACATGTTACTCGCATGTGTGATATTGTGACTAATCAGTTGTTCCTCGGTTAAAAACTTCTTATTACATGCACTAGAAGAAAGAGTTTTTTCTTATCTTCATGAATACTTTTGTGCTCAGTCAGTCCACTGCCACATAAAAAACTTTTATTTCATATGTCACATGATTGAGGTTTTTCATCATCATGAAGGCGACTATGACGACCAAGATTTGACTTTGTCGAGAAACTTTTATTACATACACTACAAGAATAAGGTTTTTCACCACTATGACTGTGTCTAACTAAACGTTCTTTCAGTGAAAAACTCTTATTACATATACTACAAGAATAAGGTTTCTCCTCACTGTGAACAGAACTGTGCTTAGCCAGATTACTGCTATGTGAAAAACTCTTATTACATAATTTACAATGAAAAGGTTTCTCACCAGTATGAACACGTCTGTGCTGAGTTAAATAAGACCTATCTGAAAAACTCATACTACATATGGTACAAGAATAAGGTTTTTCTTTCGTATGAATACGAATGTGTCGAGTCAGATCAGAACTCTGTGAAAAAACCTTACTACACATATTACAAGAATAAGGTTTCTCACCAGTATGAACACGTTTGTGCTTTGTCAGATTGTGCTTATCTGAAAAACTCTTATTACATACAGCACAAGAATATGGTTTTTCACCAGTATGAATACGAATGTGTGTCATCAGATCGCGGCACCATAAAAAACTCTTATCACACACAGCACAAGAAAGAGCAGGTTTCTCCTCAGCCTGAACATTAAGAAATTTGCTGTCGTTTAAACTCATACTGACTGTCACCTTATAGTAACAACTAAATAATCTTATTGAAGCCTCTTATATGAGCTGCAATTGTAAGGTTTTATAAGGTCTTATGTCAGGTTAAAATAGATATAATAGATGAGCCACAATAAATATTTTACAAGAACAATGTTTAAGTTACTGATATGAATTTGAATATTATTAGATATTATAATTTTTTTTAAAAATCTAAAATCAATTAAATCTATTATGAGTAATTAAGAAAAATTTAATGTTTTCATCACCTCATCTAAGCTATACAATGAAATGATTAACAAAGAAATATGCAGTATTAATATAGTCTTTAGGCAAATTCCTTTCTTCAATTTTTCACAGCGAAGTTTTAAGATGCCAGACAATCTTTTTCTTGGCTATTACCCTATGTTAACTTCAAGTGCCATGAAACACTGGACATGTGTATCGAACTGAGAAGGGCAGCTCTGAAAAAAAAAAGTACGTATTTCTAAATAATGTATAGACAAATGTATATATTCTGTATAGATGTATATCTCTAGGAATAGAAAAGGGTACTCACAGTAAGTTTTGAAATATTATTAAATTGTGTTATATTTCGTAATAACTGAACTTAATCCCTCGCAATACTAGTATTTAAATTATTCTCTTAAACTATTTTATGTATATCTTTCGAAAAGTAATTATCAAAAAATGAGAAAATTTGTAGTTTATAAAAAATAATTTAAAGGCATGCTAAAAAACAATCTCTGAACATAATTTTTTTCTTCCAATAAAGTACACTTAAAAAAATGAATAATTGATAATTAACTTGAGAGCTTTCTCTATAGTTTAAACTGAAAATTATGAAAAAATGAACATTTCGGTCATGGGCTACAATAGTGGGACGAGAATACGCATTCTTTCAGCAGCAATACTAGCACAAATCATAATTCAACTTGAAGGTAATCTTCGTTTAAGCAAACGAAAGCATTTCTCATGCATTTTGCTTAGCAATGAAAATTTTAAACCCACTTATCTCAAAATTTGATTCTTTTGAGTTGTGCCGCTATTGGAGCCCATGAGCGATTTAAAGATTTTTTTTTGTCTTTCTAAAAAATTATTTCAAAATTTATATAATTGCTTAAAAAATTTATTAATATATCCCCTTCTTTGAAAAAAAAAAGACTCTTATAAAAATTTAACCAGTGGAGAATAATACTAACTGCATGCATCAGTATACGTAATAGTAAACAGAATCAAACCTATAAACACTAATTTTGCCAGTGTATAATTATTTCAAAAGTGAGTTTTTTTTTTTATGGGATTGGTGTGAAAAGGCTGTGTTTTTAAGGGATGGAGGCTTATTTTTTACAAAAGGACACATTTATAGGGATCAAAGGGTGCCCTTCTAAAAACAAATTACGAAAATTTAAAAAAAAAAAAAGGTTTTCTATTGTTACTAAAATCAAAATTTCTTTTATGTAGGTGTGCATTTATTATTATTATTTTTAAATTATTAGAAATTATATAATGGTACTATTCTTCTATATGATCTTATATTTGTCTTTTTAAATTGCTGGGTTTTAGTAGTAGACAAAATTCTTTTAATTCGAATTTATTAAATATAAATACTCTCTAAAAAAAATATTTTCTGAAACTAGGGAAAATCCACAGTAGTTGGATTCTTTGCTTATGTCAAAAGGTGCAATGCGTAAAACAAAAAATCTTTCATAACTTTTTTTTATTTATTTATCAAATTCTTTTGAATAAAATACCAACCTTAATGGCTAAAAAGGATGACCTTTAATATACTAATTTATCAATGCTAACTAATAAGTAAATCAAATAAATAAACAAAAAATGTACTTTCTCTGAATAAACATACATCTTCTTTCAACAACTTTGGGTTTTAGGCTATCGAAATTCAGTGTTGGGGGCTGAAAAATAGGGTCGTGATTAGGGATGGAACGAACGCCATTATTTGGCAATCCTACTTGGCACTTTCGCTGAATAGGCCAACAAAGTATTATTTGGAAAATAATTTTTCAACACACGGTTTTTTAGAGGAAATGAACAGATTTAATAAAGAATAAACTAAAATTGAATTTTTTAATACGTATGATTAGAAACTGTTTTTACACATATTTGTTAAGTTCTAAAACTCACTAACTTATGTTCTGAAAGACGCATGGAAAAGCGAATTTGAAGAATTAAAAAGCTTACCAAAGTTTTGTAACTTTTTATTTATATTTAGGCAAGTCAATTTCATCGTTTTTTCGACACTTTATGTTTTAAAAGTTGAGAACTTTTTCTGTTTCAACTAACATTAGAAATTGTGTTTACACATAAGTTAGTAAGTTTTAGAACTTAACAATTATGTTCTGAAAGACGCATGGAAAAGCGAAATTTGAAGAATTGAAAAGATTACCTAAGTTATGTAACTTTTTAATTATACAAGTATGTATTTAGGTAAGTCAATGTCATCGTTTTTTCAACACTTTATGTTTTAAAAATTGAGAACTTTTTCTGTTTTAACAAAAGCGAAACTTGCTTACGGATCGTTTTTTAATAGACTTTTATTTTCATTTTTAAGGTGATAACCGTTACTCTCAACGTTTAAGTTCAAAACAAATTCTCTCTCTTTTTTTTTATTAACTTTTCTTTCTATCGGCGTCTTTATTATGACAGCATTTTTCAAAAAGCGTTTTTAATAAACGTTATTCTTTTAGGGTTACTTTTTTCAAAAAATATGGCAATGTTAAATTATAATTTTTAACGTTGAATCATTCGTTCAAAAATAAAGAATGATTTTTGTTTTCTGTCGAGCATTTTCTTTATCAAAAAACTTATGTTTCTGATACAAGGCGAGTAATGAGAGTGTTATTTATCAATCTTTACTTTTTCTCCAAAATACAGTCATTAAAAAACGTTTAGCTTTAAAAATCAGGAATGTTTTGGTTTCTATCAAACTTTTAATTTTTTAAAAAAATCCTTTGATCTTATAGACATTTCTTTTATGACTCAGCAGGATTTCTATTCTTCTTTATTCTTTCTTGATAATACGGTAGTTGGAATAATGAGATGTTTAGTTGTAAAAGTTTCTTTCGAAAATTAAGGAAACTTTTTTTCCCCCGGAAAATATTATTTTTAGCAAAGTTCCATTTTAAGAATTAAGAAAACATTTTTACTATTTCTCTCTCTCTCTCTTTTTTCAATAGCTTGCAATTCTACTCTCGTGCAGGAGTAGTAGATTAATAGGACATTCAAGTGAATGTTGTTTCAAAGAAAACTTTATTGAATTCCATCTTGAATTTGCCGAGAAGGACAGCTGTGATCTGGCTTGATTCAACGACGAGTTCGTCACAAAACATTGGATAAGTCTCTTCAAATCAAGGTTATTTTCAAAATGTATAAAAACTCAAAGAAGGAAGACCTAGTCAAGGTATTTAATCGAATCTACAAGGATATTAAAAATGATTCAGAATTTGAATAATTAAATATTTAATAAGTACCGCCGTAGAAGCGGAAAGGGGAACTTAAACAAAACGAAATTCAAGTACAGTTAAAAAAAAAAAAAAAAAACTAAAAGTAGAAAGACTCGAAAAAGAAATGCTTTTACTAGATCTAGCGAAAAACAAAGCGGCCGAACTTAATCCTCCCAAAACAATAAATAATACACTTGAAATAAACATCGAAAATGTTATACACTTAGTATTAAAACTCTTATCTCTACCAGTTCCATTGAAACCTGAAAATTTTAATAAAATTTTTTCATCCTTGGAAAGAACTTTTGCTACGTAAAACATATATGAGAGGCTTAAAGCCGAAATTTTAATCAATGTGCTAGGTGAGAAAGCAAATAGTGTATTGTTATACATTGAAGATGATGATTTAAAAAAAAAAAAAACATCAAAAGTTAAAAGCTTTAATATAGAGCGATTTTCAACAAACTCCCCTAGAATGTTCAAACAACTTTAAAATTGCATCAAAATTTAAAGAAGTAAAGAAGAAGCAATTTATATATTCAATTTGCTACTAGCTTAAATTCAAATTTCGAGTGTTATTGCAAATTACGTTAAGGTTGAAATATTTAAATCTTGATGTAACTTAATCATATCTGATAAAATAATTGAGACATTAAATAAAGAGATGGCCAGTTATATTCTAATCCGTCAGGGAGAAAATTGGTTTAATCCTATCGAGTTAGTGCGAGAATTAGACATTTATATTACGTCTAAAAATATGTCATACAGAGAAGCTTCCATCCCCCACAAATATGCGATAAACACTTTCTTTCGAAACGAAAACAGAAACTTCAGAAAAAACCACAAGGTTCATTTTTCTCAAACGATAGATAAACAAAGTTATGCGAAGAGACATTGTTATGTTTGAGGTGAAATTAAACACTATGCACGCTATTGTGAGAAGAAGAAAAAATTATGATTCCAGAAGCGATAACTCTGAAAGAAAAAAAAACCCTCCCAGTGATAACTAAAAAAATGAAAATTTTAGTGTTAATTCCAGTAAGCCATTTGGAGAAAATAATTTTAAACACGAATTGAAGTATGCTCAAATTTATGTGAATGGGAATCGAGTTAAAGCAATAATTGATTCAGGTGCTGAACAGTCGGTGATTAATTCAAATAAAATAAATCCGCCTCAATTTGAAATAATCCTTGTATCTTGTTTTGGTGCAAACAAGAATGCAGACTCATAGAGGTTGAAATGCCCATAAATCCCAATATGTCAGGGTCGAAGGTCAACGTTGTTGTTTCAGGTCGGTTCGTAGCCGAGTGTATTATTACACCCTCGATTTATGAGCAATTAATAAAACTAGGTCAACTTTCTTCTAATTTTAATACTCAAATCATAACCTTTGAGAGTGAAGATTTCTGTGAGCGTTGTGGTTTCAATATTAATGACTCTTCTTGTGAATGTTTTTTGCTTAATATCAACGATGTGTATAGTAATGATGAACTTGATTTAACACATGTTAATGCTGTTGTTGTTAATTTACGTCGTACTAGAGCTGCACAATGGGCTATTGGCGACGGTNAGTTAGTAAGTTTTAGAACTTAACAATTATGTTCTGAAAGACGCATGGAAAAGCGAAATTTGAAGAATTGAAAAGATTACCTAAGTTATGTAACTTTTTAATTATACAAGTATGTATTTAGGTAAGTCAATGTCATCGTTTTTTCAACACTTTATGTTTTAAAAATTGAGAACTTTTTCTGTTTTAACAAAGGCGAAACTTGCTTACGGATCGTTTTTTAATAGACTTTTATTTTCATTTTTAAGGTGATAACCGTTACTCTCAACGTTTAAGTTCAAAACAAATTCTCTCTCTTTTTTTTTATTAACTTTTCTTTCTATCGGCGTCTTTATTATGACAGCATTTTTCAAAAAGCGTTTTTAATAAACGTTATTCTTTTAGGGTTACTTTTTTCAAAAAATATATCAGATATATTCAAAAAAATATACAGCAAAATATACGGTAGCACAGTTTAACGAGGACCAATACCGCACACCCTCGGTCCCTACGCAGACGGATCCAAGTGGTCACCCACCCGCACACTGACCGCAGCCAGTGATGCTTGACTTCGGTGATCTGCTGGGAACCGTGTCTTAACGATCAGTCCACTGCGGGACCACATGTTAATGACTCTTGTATTAGTAATGAACTATCAGTGTTGATTAATAATTACAAACCAAACAAAATTTAAGATACTAAGTTGACAATGAAAATTATTTTAAAAGATGACATCCCAGTATAGCAAAGAGCTAGACGGTTATCTTTTTCTAAAAAACAAAAAGTAAATGATCAGATATCCGAGTGGTTAAAAACAGATATAGTTAGAGAGACTTGCTCTGATTATTGCTCCCCAATAGTTCTTTTCAAAAAGAAAGATGATAGCCTGAGTTACCAAAAATTAAATTAAAAAATAATTAAAGATAGATACCCCTCACGGCTAATTGAAGATGTGTTAGACAGGTTGCAGGGTGGCAAAGTATGTTGCAAACTTGATTTATGTAACAGTTCTTTTTTCTTCTTCATATTGACTTGGACAGTAAAAAGTATACCTCATTTGTGACACCTGATGGGCAGTATGAGTTCAATAAAGCGCCATTTGGGTTGTGTAATAGCCCTAGTACGTTCCAAAGGTACATTGTGTGAGAATGATACTTACTTGTTAGTGGTTCCCCAACCAATGCAGACTGACATTATCAAAGCCACACATGTTAATGGTCATTTTGGTATTGGTAAAACCCTTGATATACGTAAACAAATCAGCGTTGAATCCATATTAGTAAATAGGAAGGCAGGGAAAAAAGAAGGGTTTTTGAACTCCGATTCCTAAGAATAATATTCCCTTAGATTACTACATTGATCCTATGCCTTCAACCAATAAAAACTATAAACATATTTTTACCGTAGTAGATGCGTTCACTAAGGTTGTATGGTTCTATCCGACAAAATCAACGCCAAGTCAAGATGCAATAGATAAGTTGAAAACTCAACAAATAACTTTTGGGAAGAATAATTATTGACAAAGGTACAGTGTTTACTTCATCAGATTTTGAGACTTATTGCCAAGATGAAGGTATCGAACACGTGAAAATAGCAACAAGCATTCCTCGTGGTAACGGGCAACTAGAAATAATGCATAAACTCCTCATACCTAAACTGGCAAAACTGTCTACATCAGATCTTACTATACTGGCAAAACTGTCTATATCAGATCCTACTAAGTGGTACAAATTTGTTCCAGCAGCACAGTGTATCATTAATTCTACAGTTTCTCGAATCCCTCAAAAAATACCATTTCATATCTGCCAACATTAGAGAAATAAAATAACGGAGATTTTACTAGCCAAATCTTTTAGGTTACGAGTAAAGTTTTGATACATGATGCATAATCATGTAAGTCGAAAAGAGAAATTCAAAATGGGAAATATAAGCACTTACATTTAGCGAAGTAAAAAATATGTATAGATATCTTTATCTAAAGAAGATTTTTTTAAACCATTATTTTTAATTATTTAAACTATTAACACTCAACATACTGCAGTACTGGCAATAGCAGTATCTGTTGAGGAATAAGAGAAGTATTTTTGTCATCGGCGGATATTTTATCACCAAATTTTTTTTTTTTTTTAATTTCTTCAGCAAATACAGAGAAATTAGTGAATATTGGGGTAAACAGGGGATAGTCGTAAAATACAGGAGTCGTCTTTAAAAAAAACAGGACACTTGGCAGGTATGCCATTTCAACTCTTAACGGGAGAAAAAATGACAACAAAGGAGGACTTAAAAATTCTGAACGTGTTCGAAGAAGAGAACATAGAATCCTTTATCCAAGACAGAGAGAACATTCGAGAAGCTAAAAAGAATATCTTGAAGATCCAAGAAGAGAACCGCAGGCAATACAAAAAAAGAAGGAAGAAAGCAAATGAGTATCAAGTAGGAAATTCAGTTGCAATCCAGAGAACTCAGTTTGGATCTGGTCTCAAATTAAGACCGAAGTTCTTCGTTTCTTACCAAATAAAAAAAGTAAAGAAGAACGGTAGATACGAGGTGTTAAAAGTCGGAAATCATGAAGGACCAAATAACACTTCATCTTCAGCTGACGGTATGAAACCGTGGTCAGTAAATTTTAAAAAAAAATGTTTTTTTTTATTCCTTGCTTTCTCGTCTTTCTTTTTTCAGATAACTGCTTCCTTAGCTGATTCTAATGGAAAAAATGCGGACATTTGCAAATCAGGATGGCTGAAATATAGTCGTTTTAATTTACCATCATCCTCGAAACCACCTACTTCCATGTTGAAAGGACCCAGACTGTCCAAAATGGAAAAGTCCCGGAATACACACACATATATATATATATATACGTGTGTGTAACATAAAAAGCTTCAATTAATCTTTTCTGTAAATCCTTTCCTTAATTTATTATTTAAAACGAAATGTTTTCTCACTCTTTTAAATTCACATTATTTTTTGGCTCAATTATGCATTAATTAAAAGTAGGACATTTTCCCCTTTGTTTTTTGTGGGAATCGCGCGACTTATTTGATAAACCAATTACAATTACTAAGGTTGCCCTCTTTCCCTAAATCGAAACATTTAGGCTGGAGCACAATGAAATTGTGTCTCATTCCCTCTGGTCATTCATCTGAAAATGATTAAATAAAATTAAATTGCTCACTTTTGAAATCCTGTGCCTGTTTTCCTGCTTGCCAGAATGCCTTCATTTCAAGTCGACAGGATTAGGAAGGATAATATCTGATTCACGAGCAATGCCAGCATCTCGCAATCTCAAAAAACTTCAGCCATTCGATTGTATTCTTTTTTATTTATATATATATTGTTAGATTCAGATAACTATGCATCTGTAGAAATTCGGCCAAATAAGGGTTTGCTAAATATCCAAGCACTATAATAATCAAATATAAGCCAGTGTCTCATTACACTATGAAAACAAGCTTTTTCAGTAGGGATAGTTTGTCTGAGCACATAAGAAGAAAAAAAATAGTTTTACATAATCTACAAGAATAAGATTTCTAAACAAAATGAAAAAACTGTGGAGAGCTATAATATAAAAAACATTTATTGCACTCACTACAAGAATAAAGTTAATCAGCATTAAGAACAAAAATGATGACAGTTACTGTAAAAATATTTAATGCTACTTGTATGTGTGGGATTATGACTATTCAGTTGCTTCGTGGCTAAAAAATTCTTGTTACATACACTAGAAGAAAAAGTTTTTTCATCTTCATGAATATGTTTGTGCTTAGTCAGACCACTGCTACATAAAAAACTTTTATCTCATATGTCACACAAATGAGGTTTTTCATCTTCATGAATATGTTTGTGCTCAGTCAGACCACTGCTACACAAAAAACTTTTATCTCATATGTCACACGAATGAGGTTTTTCATCATCATGAAGGCGACTATGACGACCGAGATTTGACTTTGTCGAGAAATTTTTATTACATACACCACAAGAATAAGGTTTTTCCCCACTATGACTGTGTCTAACTAAACGCTCTTTCAGTGAAAAACTTTTATTACATATACTACAAGAATAAGGTTTCTCTTCACTATGAACATAACTGTGCTTAGTCAGATTACTGCTGTGTGAAAAACTCTTATTACATAACTTACAATAAAAAGGCTTCTCACCAGTATGAACACGTCTGTGCACAATTAGATTGGACCTATCTGAAAAACTCATACTACATAGGGAACACGAATAAGGTTTTTCTTTTGTATGAATACGAATGTGTCGAGTCAGATGAGAACTCTGTGAAAAAACCTTACTACACACACTACAAGAATAAGGTTTCTCACCAGTATGAACATGTTTGTGCTTTGTCAGATTGTGCTTATCTGAAAAACATTTATTACATACAGCACAAGAATATGGTTTTTCACCAGTATGAATACGAATGTGTGTCATCAGATCACGGCACCATAAAAAACTCTTATCACACACAGCACAAGAAAGAGCAGGTTTCTCCTCAGCCCGAACATTAAGAAATTTGCTGTCCTTTAAACTCATACTGACCTTATATCAACAGCTAAATAATCTTGTTGAAGCCTTTTATATGAGCTGCAATTGTAAGACTTTATAAGGATGTCTTGCACCAGGTTTAAATAGATATTATAGATGAGCTACAATAAATATTTTACAAGAACAATGTTTTGCTAATGTTTAAGTTACTGGCATGAATTTGAATATTATTAGATATTATAATTTTTAAAAAAATCTAAAAGCAGTTTAAGCTATCAGCAGTGATTAAGAAACAAATGCATTTATGTTTTCATCACCTCATCTAAGTTACACAGTGAAATGATTAACAAAGAAATATCATGCAATATTAATATAGTCTTTAGGCAAATTCCTTTCTTCAATTTTTCACAGCGACAGTAGAAACTAGTTTTAAGATGCCGGACAGTCTTTGTCTTGGCTATTATCCTACGTTAACTTCAAGTGTCATGAAACACTGGACATGTGTATCGAACTGAGAAGGGCAGCCCTGAAAAAAAATATGCATTTCTAAATAACGTATAGCCAAAATTTTGTAAAAATGGTATCTTATTTTTACAAAAGGACACATTTATAAGATTCAAAGGGTAGATAGGGCGGGCTGCCCTTCTAAAAAGGTTCAAAAGGAATATCATAGAAAATTACAGTACTTAAAAAAAAAAAGGTTTTCTATAGTTAATAAAACAAAAATTAATTTATGTAGATGTACATTTATTTTTCATAAAAAAAAATTATTAGGACATAAACAATGTTAGCATTCATCTATATCTTACATTTGTCTCTCTAACTTATAATGCTTGGTACATGAATGCTTGGGTCCAGCCGTAGACAAAATTCTTTTAATTCTAATTTGTTTATACTTGTGCATAAATATTTTAAAAATGCTACCATCTCTTAGAAAAATATTTTCTAAATCCACAGTAGTTGGGAAAATCCACATTAGTTAGATTCTTTGTTTATGTCAAAAGGTGCAATGTGTAAAACAAAAAATCTTTCATAACTCTTTTTATTTATTTATCAAATTCTTTTGAATAAAAGGCCAACCTTAATGGGTAAAAAGGGCAACCTTTAAATTACTAATTTATAAATGCTAACTAATAACTTATTTATATGCAAAAAACATTTATGACATTTTTTTAAAAATCTTATTCAGTTGCTGGACATTGGGTATTTGCCTGATTTTTTTTGGCTAAATCACTATTTGTTAAATCCCTAGTTTGAAGATATTGCAAATAAAATACCCTTTTCACTGACTAATTAAATGACAACACTGAATTTTACAAATCTGACTGCATATTTATGATCAGTGACACTCTTAAACACTTTAAAACTACTTAATATTACATTGCTTAGACATTTTAGTAATTTTTTTTTATTGTTGTTGTTAGATTTAGGCAACTGTGCATCGGCAGAAATTCAGCAAATGAATATCCAGATCACTGTTTCCTAAATCTCTCTGTAATAATCTAACATCATATGTAATAATGAAATATCATATCATCAAGTCTCATTCCTTCAGCTACAAAAATAAAATTCTTCGGCAGGGAAAACTTGCAATTTATCTGTGCACAATAAATTTACATTTAAAAAAATCGTTTTATATAAATTATAGGAATAAGATTTCAAAGCAAAATGAAAATATCTGTGGACAGCTAAACTACTATAATGCAAAAAACTTTTATTACAATCATTACAAGAAAAAAGTTATTCAGCAGTAAGAACAAAAACGTGGACAGTTACAGTATTGCCGGTCTCCTGTATGAATGAGATTGTGACTAGTCAGTTGTTTCTTGGTTAAAAAACTCTTACTACATATGGCACATGAATAAGGTTTCTCTCCAGTATGAGTAAGACTATGTCTGATTAGACGTTCTTGCAGTGAAAAACTCTTTTTACATACACAACCAAATTAAGGCTTTTCACTGCTATGAACATGTTTGCGTTCAGCCAGTAAAAAACCCATAGTACATATGTCACAAGAATAATATTTTTAACTTGAATGCTCGCCATTGTGTTGAGTTAGATGTTCCTTTTGTGAAAAACTCTTACTACATGCACTACAAGAATAAGGTTTCTCTTTACAATGAATACGACTATGCTGAGTCAGATTACTGCTGTGTGAGAAACTCTTATTACATAAACTACAAGAATAAGGTTTCTCACCAGTATGAACACGCATGTGTATCATTAGAGGAGACCTATCTGAAAAACTCATACTACATAAGGAACAAGAAAAAGGTTTTTCTTTAGTATGAATACGAACGTGTCGAGTCCGATCAGAACTGCGTGAAAAACTCTTACTACATAGACAACAGGAATAAGGTTTCTCTTTACCATGAATACAACTATGCTTAGTCAGAGCATATTTCTGTGAAAAACTCTTATTACACAAATGACAAGAATAAGGTTTCTCACCAGTATGAACACATATGTGTATCATTAGATGAGACCTATCTGAAAAACTCATACCACATAAGGAACAAGAATAAGGTTTTTCTTTGCTATGAATACAAGTAATGCGTCAAGACTAGAACTATGTGAAAAACCCTTACAACAGATATTACAAGAATAAGGCTTTTGACTGCTATGAACATGTTTGTGTTGAGTTAGCTGTCTCTCCTGTGAGAAACTCATACTACATACACTACAAGAGTAAGGTTTCTCTTTACTATGAATATAACTATGGCTAGTCAGAGTACTTTTTTGTGAAAAACTCTTATTACACAAACTACAATGAAAAGGTTTCTCACCAGTATGAACACGTCCATGTGCCATTAGATTACCCCTAGTTGAAAAACACTTGCTACAGCTACATAAAGGACAAGAATAAGTTTTTTTTTTGAGGAATACGAATGCGTAGATTCAGATGAGAATTCCGGGCAGAGCCCTTATTATACACATTACTAGAAAAAGGCTTTTTATCAGTATGAACAACACGTCTGTGGTTTGTCAGACAGCTCTTACTTGAAAAACATTTAATACATACATTACAAGAATAAGGTTTTTCACCAATATGAATATGTTTGTGCACTGTCAGATAGCACTTATCTGAAAAACATTTATTACATACACTACAAGAATAAGGTTTTTCACCAGTATGACTACGAATGTGTGTAATCAGAGACCGGCTACGTAAGAAACTCTTATCACACAAAGCACAAGAAAGAGCAGGTTTCTCCTCAGCCTGAACATTAAGAAATTTGCTGTCGTTTAAACTCATACTGACTGTCACCTTATATCAACAGCTAAATAATCTTGTTGATGCCTTTTATATGAACTGCAATTGCAAGGTTTTATAAGGATGTACTATCTTACGCCAGGTAAAAATAGATATAATAGATAAGCTACAATAAATATTTTACAAGAACAATGTTTTGCTAATGTTTAAGTTACTGGTGTGAATTTCAATATTATTAGATATTATAATTTTTAAAAAAATCTAAAAGCAGTTTAATCTATCAGCAGTAATTAAGAAACAAATGCATTTATGCTCTTATTACCTCATCTAAGTTATACAATGAAATGATTAACAAAGAAATATCATGCAATATTAATATAGTCTTTAGGCAAATTCCTTTCTTCAGTTTTCCACAGCGATAGTAGAAATTAGTTTTAAGATGTCAGACAAGCTTTTTCTTGGCTATTATCTTATATTAACTTCTAGTGTCATGAAACATTGGGCATGTATATCGAACTGAGAAGGGCAGCCCTGAAAGAAAAAGTATGTATTTCTAAATCATGCATAGCAAAAAAATTTTAAAAATTGTATCATATTTTTACAAAAGGACACATTTATAGGATTTAAATTGCAGATAGGACGGGCTGCCCTTCTAAAAATGCTTAGAAAGAACACCATAGCAAATTAGAGTATTTTTTAAAAAAAGTCTTCTATTACTAAAATCAAAATTTCATTAAGTAGATGTGCATTTATTAATATTGTGCATTAATTAACTATATGATCTTATATTTGTCTTTTTAAATTGCTGGGTTTTAGCAGTAGACAAAATTCCTTTAATTCTTATTTATTAAATATAAATACTCTCTAAGAAAAATATTTTCCCAAACCAGGAAAAATAAACAGTAGTTGTATTCATTGCTTATGCCAAAAGGTGTGATTTCTTTGCTTATGCCAAAAGGTGTAATGCGTAAAACAAAAAAATCATCATCTTTAATAACTTTTTTTTTTATCAAATTCTTTTGAACAAAATCCCAACCTTAATGGCTAAAAAGGGGGACCTTTAATTTACTAATTTATCAATACAAACTAAAAAACTTATTTATACAAAAAAAACAACATTTATGATATTTTTTTAAATGTTATTCAGCTGCTGAACATTTGGTACTTCAAATATAAATACACTTTTCATTGATAATCTGACTGCATGTTTATGATCAGAGACACTCTTAAAACACTTCAGAACTACTTAATATTACAACTGTGCATCGGCGAAAATTCAGCAGACGAATATCCAGTACTTTGACATTTCACTGTTTCCTAAATCACTTTGCCCTGTCATAGTCAAATATCAAGTCTCATTCCTTCAACTACTAAAATAAGATTCTTCAAAAGTGAAAAATTGCAATTTGCTGTGCACAATTAATTTACATTTTTCAAAAAAAAAAAAAAAAAANAATAAAAAAAAAAAAAAAAAAAAAAAACTAGTTTTACATAAACTACAGGAACAACATTTCTAAGCAAAATGGAAATAACTGTGGACAGCTAAACTACAATAATGTATAAAAACTTTTATTACACGCATTACAAGAATAAAGTTATTCAGCAGTAAGAACAAAAACATGGACAATTATAATAAATTATTTATTGCTGGTCCCTTGTATGAATGCGATTGTGACTAGTCAGTTGTCTCTTGGTTAAAAAACTCTTGCTACATACACTACAAGAATAAGGTTTTTCACCGGTATGAATACGTTTGTGATCAGTCAGTCCACTTCTACGTAAAAAACTCTTATTACATACGTCACATGAATATGGTTTCTCTCCAGTATGAGTGAGACAATGTCTAATAAGACGTTCTTGCAGTGAAAAACTCTTATTACATACACAACATAAATAAGGCCTTTCACCGCTATGAACATGTTTGTGTTCAGTCAATTCACCCTTACATGAAAAACTCATAGTACATAAGTCACAAGAATAAGCTTTTTCACTTGAATGCTCGCCATTGTGTTGAGTTAGATGGTCCTTTTGTGAGAAACTCTTACTACAGACACTACAAGAATAAGGTTTCTCTTCACTATGAATATAACTATGCTTAGTCAGATTACTGCTATGTGAAAAACTCTTATTACACAAACTACAATAAAAAGGTTTCTCACCAGTATGAACACGTCTGTGCACAATTAGATTAGACCTATCTGAAAAACTCATGCTACACAAGGAACAAGAATAAGGTTTTTCTTTAGTATGAATACGAATGTGTCGACTCAGATGAGAATTCCGTGAAAAACCCTTATTACACACACTGCAAGAAAAAGGCTTTTCACCTGTATGAACACGTCTGTGCTTTGCCAGGTTGCCATTATTCGAGAAACTCTTATTACATACACTACAAGAATAAGGTTTTTCCCCAGTATGAATACGAATGTGATGCGTCAGATCACAGTTCCATAAAAAACTCTTATCACACATACCACAAGAAAAAGGTTTCTCATCAGAGTGAATTTTAACCAATTTGCTATCTTTTAAACTCATCCTTTATATGGTTATGAGGGTAATTATAAGGTTTTATGAGGGTGTACTATCTCATGTAGGTTAAAACAGAGAAAATCTACAAAAAATATTTTACAAGAATAATGTTTTTCTAGTGGTTGAGTTACTAATGAATATGGATATTTTTAGACATTATAATTAAACAAAAAATGTATTTATGTTCTTATCAATTCGTCTAAGTTACACAATGGAATGATTAAAAAAGAAATATATTAAAATACCATGTAATATTATTATTATAGTCTTTAGGCAATGAAAATTTCTTTCTTTAATTTCTCGTACCAGCAGTAGAAACTAATCTTAAGATGTCAGACAACTTTTCTGTAGCCCCTGTCCTATAGTAACCTCAATTGTAAAGAAAGAAGGCAGTGCTTTTGACTTCGAAGGAAAACCCTGAAAAAAATATATATATTAAGTAATGTGTTGCATATTATAGTACATGAAAAAAATTTCTATTGATATTAAAATATAATGTAAGATATATACAGTGAATCCTCTGTTAAGTGGACATTCTCGGGACCGAAGAAATTGTCCGTTTAAGTGAAGGGTACGCTAATAACAAAGTTTAACAACCTAGAATTTTTTAGAATATTTTAAAGGATATAGAAATAATTAAATAATCTACAATAACTATCTACATGGATATTTATTTAAACTTTAAAAATATTTTTCTATGCAAAAAACAATTTATTTAAAAGATTCTGTCAGTGTCCAGTTATGTGAGTGTTTGCTTTGCGGAGAATATACATAATAGTTTATTCATAGAATATTCACAGGGATTTAAAAATGAGTCCTATTGAGATATGTGATTGAGCTATATGTCCTATCGAGATTGGGAAAAATATGTCAATATGTTCGTATTGAGTAGCATCCGTTTTGCAGGAGTGTCCATAATAAGAGGTTTCACTGTACACATATATGTATGTATATAATATCCAAAATGAAGAGAAAACATGGACAATTAAAAAAAAATTAACAAAAATCTGGGATGGGAAAAAATCACTTCATCAGCTCACACGATTATATCCGCAAAAAGGAGTGCTCTCCAATATTGTATCAATATACAGGGGTGTGTTTAGAAGAAATTTGGGTCCATTAACGGGCCCTTCACAAAATATCTTTTCATAAAAACCGAGCCTTCACAAAATATTTTAACTTAAAAACGGACCCTTCACAAAATAATTTATCTCTTAACAGGATCCTTCACAAATTTGTTTATCTTCATTATTGTTTTGTTAATAAAATAAACCCTTCCCAGGAAGAGGGGGAAAGAAAGACAAATGTAAACGAACTAAGTTTTGTCTTCGGCAGACGATTCTTCCTTTATTCGTCCAAAATGAATATTCTGTGCTAAGCAGTAGAGGCTAAATACCAAATATTCGTAGGTTGCATCTCTAATTTAGTAGCAGCAATTGCTGTTTATTTCTTAAAATTAAATTTTTTTATTATAATTTTACAGTGTTGTACAGTCTTATATGTCTTTACAATTTAAAAACTCTTTGAACAAGTTTTTTCCAATAACAGGACCCTATTTACACAAATTCACAAAAGTCGGACCCTGTTTGAACGAATGTGATTTAATGTTTATTTTATATTCACAAATTAAGAGTAATTTTTTCACAATTTTACAAAAACGGACCTTTCACAAAATGTCTGGACAGACCCCTGTTATAGCAAAACCAAAATATATCAATACAATAGTGTGAGGAGCACTCAAAAAAAAAAAAAAATTGAAACAAAATAAAACACATAAAGTAATAGATATCACGTAAAAAAACAGAAAATAAAATGTAAAGAAAACACAGAGCAGAACACAAAATAAAATCTGTATAGTGAGTAGCTAATTCAAATGAACTTACATGAACGGGAAAATTTTCAAGAATGATTTAGAATATTTTCATAATAAAATTGCAGCTAATTGCCAACAATTCTTGAGATTTGTTATATTTAAAGCTTTTAATGATGTTAAAATCTTTTAATGGAAACAAATTTTTTAAATTTACAAGTATATTATGAAATTTGATATTATTGAAAACAGGGTTTTGAATGTTAATAACAAAATATTAATTACCTAAGTTTCCGTTGTAGTAAATTAGCTTGGTTTAGTTAAGGTAATTTTAATCTTATTTTGGCTTTTACAGGTAAACAAAAAATTTAGAGTGTAAATTAACAAAAGAAAAGTTGATAATAAGATCTTGAAGTTTATAAACAGGGAGATTTAAGGGGACAGGCGGTTTAAGGGAGATAACAAAATTTTTCATTGGTTTAATATTATGATGTTTATTAAAATCTTTTTCATATTAGAAATAAAATTTACATTAATTTCGTCACTATTAAGAGAACTTTTATTATTTCCTGGTCCCCGTTTACCTCGATTTGTAAGCTTATCTTTAATATGAAAGAGCAAGCAAGTTCAGAAGTTATACAAATTAATCTGTGTATGTTGGAAGCTATTGTTTAGCCCACACAGCAAAATTATTTTGTATAAAAGCATGTAGTAATTTTCTTTTTGTAGTCTTAAATCAAAATCTTCTACTATATCTAAAGCATTAATTTTCACACTGTTAAAATGCTCTCTAAAATGATTCAATTCCAGGTCGTTGATAATTTTATTACAGTTTATATCTCAACGGTGTTGATTAATTCGAATATTTTGAGAGTTACTGGCTTGTACAACATATTTCATATTACAAAAACCACAGGTTAACATATAAATTTACAAACAGATTTGGAGCTATCGTTATTATGAATTATGTGTATTTTGTCAATGTTAGGGAAAGTTTTACATCTTTTATCACCTCATGCTTTATAACACAGAAAAATTTCGGATATTGAATACAATTCAAAAAATCTTTTGATTTCAGAGTAGCAGGATGTCAATCTGAAGAACGCCTCTGAATTAGGCTCTTCGTACCATGTACAACATGTAGAATATTTAACATCTCTTTTGTATATATATATAGAACAATAAAGACAAAAAGGATAAAAAGAAAATTAATAACTTATTTACTGCGCATAAGCTGCAAGTATATAGAACTCATAGAATAAGTTTAAAATATAGAGAAAACATGGAAAATAATAAAAATTAAAGAAAAGAGAAGAAAAATTATTATAATGAAATATTATTACAGTACAGAACCCGTTATCCGGAAAACCAAAAAACCGGAACAAAATTCGATAAATTTTCCCGCCATTTTNTTTGTAGCCATTCCGAAAACCGGAAAAATCAGTTATCCGGAATAGCGATGGTCCCGATTGTTCCGGATAATCGGTTCCCTACTGTAATTATAAAAAAATTTGTTTTCTGGCTTTTAACACAAAATATTTTATTTTATTTTAGTTGTTAAATCTTCCTCTTCTCTTTTCTTTAATCTTTAGTATTTTCCATATTTTCTCTGCATTTTTAATTTTATATATAAGCATTTAAAAAAAAAATTATAAGACAAAATTAGATTTTTAAAAAAAATATAATACAATGGTAGCATTCATCTATATAATGTTATATTTATCAATTTAAATTGCTTCGGTTTAATTGTAAACCAATTTCTTTTCATTCTAATTTCTTAAAATATAAATACCACACCTCTAAGAAAAATATTTTCTGAAAAGAGGAAGAATCCACAGTAGTTGGATTCCTTGTCAAAATGCAGGAAAAACAAAAACAAATAAATATTTCATCTACAATAACTTTTATCTCAATAATCATATTCTTATAAACTAAGTTTGAATCTTAATGGTTTTTAAAAAAGGATGACCTTTAATTTACTAATTCACCAATACTAACTACTAAGTAAATCCCATAAATGAACAAAAAAATTACTTTCTCTGAACAAACATACATCTTCTTTCAACAGATTTGGGTTTTTGGCTATTGAAATTGGGGATTGGAGACAGGGAAATACAGTCTTGATAGTTATTTCACTTTCGTTGTATTTAGCCACATCTCTGGAAGCTTAAAAGCGAATTGAAAATCTTTTACATACTATATATCCGAAGATTTCTTGTAAAAATTAATTTATAATAAGGAGAGAAGAAATATGGGTAAAAAAATTATACATGTAGGGTTAAAAAATTTTTACCCCCTTTTTAATTAGTTGATTTTAAATGAAAAAATTCAAAATTTAAGAATATTTAGGGTCCGTAATATTAATTTCAATTTTTTTTTCTCTCTTTTGTATTTAGTCTTAGTTTTGGAAGTCTATTTTCATTATTTTGTATTCAGTAATACCTAATTTAAATTGATGTTATAATTTGTGTAACTTGAAATTCTTCCCTTTTTTTTATCCTTAAGCAATAAAAAAAAATTACATGGAATTTTCTTTGGATGAAGTAAATTTATAATTGCATAAAAAAAATATTTTGTCCGCTACAAAAATTTACAGGTTATGATGTTAAAAAATGCAAAAAGAGAATTTAAAATTAAGGGGTCCAACCTTCAGACAGCTTTCCTGATCGAACTCCAAATAATTTGACATATAATGACATGATTTCCAAATTATTGCTACCCTCTATATTTTGATAGTCAAAAATCTTTAGCGTCGAAAAGAAGGGTAATTTTATTAAGAAATAGTACATATTTATGTCAGACTCTGTAACTTAAATTTAGCAAATATGGCATATTTAGGTTCAACCATTATGATATGCACTTTGTGAAAATCCTATCTTTAGTACAAAAGTTAATACTGATGACAGCTTTTGTATTTTCCATACTGTATGCAAGAAAGCATTTAGTTTTGAGGCGTAAAGAGAAACAAAATTGAAAGGTTCACGCACTTTAGCATAGCCATGGTAAACTTGCAGTACAAGTGGACCACTGAATTGGACGTTCCTTTTTTGACACGCCAGTTTTTACCATCATGTCAAAAACCAAGATCTTAGTTGGCAATCAACAAACTTTTACAATCAACAGAAATAAAATTTAAGAAGAAAGATCAAAAGTTAAACATAAAGAAATGCGATCTCTTTTTCATGCATTAGAATAATGCTATAAAGTTTGGCGAGTTGCTGGGCAAACATTTTAATATTATGCTTCTTGCCAGAAAAATCATCTATATAAAATAAAAAATTATTTCTATCAAAAGTAATAAAAGTTTTGATTGGAAAAAATTATAAAAAGTTTTAATTTTATTAGTTCAAGATTAATAAATATTCTAAAAAGAAACTTTAACTAAAAAATTATTCACTACACTTACCGCCACTAAAATTATGTGCAGGTTGCTGTTATGGTACATCTACTGCATTGAGTTTTCAATCTCATCCTACAAAAGTAATTTTAATGTTTGAATTTAAAAAGAAATGTTGTTTTTTCACTTCAAATCTGGCTCGTATCATTGATGAAAAATTTTGTTAAAACAATCTCTCCATCTCTGTTTTTGCCATAATTATTTACATTTGTAAACGTTATCACATAAAATTGAAACATCATAAAACGCAAACGATCTGATTGGTTCAAGTGTGAATTGCTCTTAATCCAGGGGAAATTTTCTTATCAACGGAGAGAAAGGATTGCTGATATTTCAGACAACAGCGATTTCTATAGCACATGAGCATTTTTGAAAGATTTTTTAAGGAAATTAATGATACAGTAGAGCTTGCGATTGAATGTGTCGTTTCATTGCTGATAACTTCCATTATGTAATAAACCCACTATCTTTGCGATTGATTGTGCCGCATCAATTCCGATACCACATGAGCATTTTAAAAGATTTTTTATGGAAATTAATGATAAGATACGATTGATTGTGCTATTTCATTGCCGATAATTTTCATTGTGTAATATACCTATTATCCTTCAATCACTGCAATGTTTTTCTTTTTAATTTAATCCTTGCGGTTTTTTTGGGAAACATTATTTTTAGGAGTTTATTTACTGATTTTTTCATTCATCTTTCTCCCTTATTGTCATTTGGTATGGGTGGCGTTTCAAAGATGAAATACTGTTTCATATTTCAGCAACGAAACAAAATCGAACATCAGCCTACATTTTGGAGGAGTTATTTTTCGTCAATAATTCATTTTACTTTATGACCTTAATAAAAAAACAAAGCTAGCCACATTTGGAAAAATATTGAAACTGTCAATAAAAAGGGGCAGAAAAGTCATTAAAGAATATCATATCGGCTAATGATAAAGATACAAAAAATTTTCATTCAACTAGATTGAAAGAATAATAAATATTGAATTTTATTGTGCTTAAATTTATAGGAAATTCAATACCATACAACTTGTCAAACATTTACTTAAAAAATAAACAGAAGTTATTAAAATGTTAAGGATGTAAATGTTGTGGATGTTATATGACAAAGAGAGGTTTTCGCCCACCAATTCATTTTAGTTGCTAAATGGCAACCGCTATACTCACCCTTCAGATAGTGCACAACAATTTTAATTCAGTTTTATTTAACAAAGTTCTCAGTAATAAAGCTCAATTTTCCTTATAGAAGAAAATTTAAATTAGTTACACAGGAATACGCTTACAAATGACTCCCAAAGGGGTAAAAGAAGTTTAAAAATAATTGGTAAGCCATCATTCTTTAAAATCTAATCTATAATGTAAGTAAAAAAAGTGTTACATTTTAACATTAAAATTTCAATTAATGATTGCTTTACTTTATGAATTTTTGGTAAATTGTGTTTTTATAAGCATTAAAGCAAATTACCAATTAAAGTTTGAAGAATAAATTTAATTTAAACATAATTAATTACAAATAAATACAGAAAGTTAAAAATGAAATTAGGATCATTGTACAGCCATGCTTCACCGACCGTGCCACGAGCTAAAAATGTGGATATACTTGGTTGCTTGTAGAAAAACTGGTTTTACGTCACTCCTGCAAGTTGAAGTAAAAGTTCGTTTTTTTTGCATCACCAAGTGAAGGTGAGATTACAGGGCCAGGGCACCGCCGCAAATTAAATAAATTATAATTAGTTAATTTTAAGCAAATTTATTTAAAATGTTTAAATAGTTATACTATTTTTTTATTTTTATGACATATTGATTAATTATTCATCAGATGTTTCATCGAAATTAATAAAATAACAAAGATGTGGCTAAAAATAATACATTTGGTTAGAAACTACAACTTAAAATCTTCAAGAAAGCAGTTCTGGATTTGAATAAAAGTTATTTGATATAGAAAAAAATTTACATTAAACATTATTCAAATGAAAAGTTATTTTTATGACATATATTTATTTTTAACTAATTATAAACATACTATTCATCTGGCATACTCTTTAAATTTTATATCAATAGTATTTCAAGAAAAATTTCAAATATAATCCTGCACTATCAAATACAAAAAATTGTAACTATGTGGCCTATTCAGCGATAAAATATTAATATAAATTCTGTTACAGTTATCATTTTAGAAATGAGGAGCTAGACTCTTGTAAGATAAAAAAAAAATTGAAAATGTATCACGAACATTAACAGGAAAATGGCCCGTCCACACAGACGTCAGATTCAAGAAATTCGTTGTCCGGGGGAAATTTTTGACCCCCCAGGACGGGCGGATTTTTGAGCCCTGATACGTATATATACACACAATGTTCTTCCGAAGCGTTTTTAGAAGGGCAACCCCCTTCTTTACCCATTTCGTAAAAATAAGCTGCCACCCCTTAAAAACACTGTCTTTTTATTCATTTTCCATTTTAAAAAAGATTAATTTGCTATTTAAGAAATAATTACACCCAGGTAAAAGTATCTATGTTTAAAGGTTTAATTCTGATTACTATTACAAATATTTATTTTGTTACGATTATTCTGAACTGGTTATATGTTATCGATTATTTCTTTCTTACTGCTATGAACTGCTATGGATAGTAATAAAATTTTAAATGATTTTAAACTTAAAAAATATTTTTTGAAAACATTTTTTTTTATAAAAACACTCCTCTAAATGTCAATTTTCTCATAATCCTTAGTTTAAATTATATATAAAAGCCTTCAACTTGTTTATCAATATGTCATTTTTTTTTTAGAGTTTACTTTCTTTTTTTTTAAATTTACGCAGATATTATCATATAACACACCTTTAATTATTTTTATAAACTACAAATTTTTCTCTTATTTTGATAATGAGAGAGCATTATTTTTAAACATACACAAAAAATAGCATTAGAAGGTAATTTGAAAATTGATGAGAATAAAATTCAGTTCCCCATAATATTACAAATTTTGGGTGCTGTGCCCTTTTCTCAAAGAAAGCATCTGGCTCTTTTTTATTTAAGAACTCAGATATACAATAATCAGAAAGAAATAACCCCTTCAATCAACCATTAAAACTATGCTACTAATTGGGAGCCCTGCATTTGGCTTGTTGAAATACTAATCAATATATATGAAATTCAATCAAGAAGCAATCATGTAATAGTAAAAAAAAAAATTAGTAGTAACACTAGGATGTCATTGAAAACAAAAACAACAAAGAGTATGATGATAATCATACACAAATTTTCAGCAAAACTGAAAGAAAATTACCACCAAACCTTAACTCTATTGTAATATCAAGAGATATAAATTTTGTTTAAAGTATAAAATTAGGTTATTTAAAACTTATACTATTATTTCCTTAATAACAAATATTTAGTGTTAGTAACAAAAAAGAAAATTTAAACGTTGGTAACTAAAATGGGGAGATTTCCGTATTGTGATCTGTGGCAGAATAATCGCCAATTCTTGGAAACTTCCGGGCAGTGGCCTGCAAGAAACTCAGGGTTGGGTTTTTGACGTCAAAAAGTGGTTTTTGACATGACAAGGGTATAATACTGGTTTAAACCGTCAAAAATGTCAAAAACTGAAGTTTGCCCAGAAAATATATAAACTTCAAAACTACCAACAGTTGCCATGCATTAGATTGAAATTTAATTATACTAT